TATATATATATATATATATATATATATATATATATATATATATATATATATATATATATATATATATATATATATATATATATATATATATATATATATATATATATATATATATATATATATATATATATATATATATATATATATATATATATATATATATATATATATATATATATATATATATATATATATATATATATTAAACACCAAAATTCAGTGTTAGCCATATCTTTATTCCAATAGTTTTTATAAAATAATTTGCCTCTATATACAGTTAAAGTCAGAATTATTCGCCCCCCTGTGAATTTTTTTCCCCTTTTCAAATATTTCCCAAATTATGTTTAAGAGAGCAAGAAATTTTTCACAGTATTTCCAATTATATATTTTTTTCTCCTGGAGAAAGTTTTATGTTTTATTTGAGCTAGAATGAAAGCAGTTTTTACTTTTTTATTTTTACTATTTTAATAATAATTATTAATAATACTTAATATTATTAGGCCCCTTTAAGAAATAGTTTTTCGATAGTCTACAGAACAAACCATCGTCATACAATAACTTGCCTAATTACCCTAACCTGCCTAATTAACCTAGTTAAGCCTTTAAATGTCACTTTAAGCTGTATAGAAGTGTCTTGAAAAATATCTAGTTAAATATTATTTACTGTCATCATGGCAAAGATAATTCTGACTTCAACTGTATATTTATATACATATATATGAAGAGTTCATATGCAAAAAAACTCTAAATTTAAAGTGAGCATTTTAATCAGGCTCCTAAGTGTATGTTCAGTAATTTCCCCTTTATGCCAAATATTAAGTGCTTTTCATGGTTTATAAATTATAAAGTCAACATGAACAAAGGAGGCTGAAAAAAAAAAAAAATTTCTGGTGGAAATTTCAGACGGTACTTAGAGGTTTTTGCATCTGAACTCTTCATTTGCATAATTACACTGATCATTTACATTTTGTTGTACAAAAACAGTTGTGAATTTTGTACGTCCGTGGTATTTTCTGAATTATAAAGCTAAGCTTTGTACAAAAACCTTTGAATCTAATGCAAAAGACCAATATTTTGAACATGACTTTTTGGTTGCTTTTTGTGACGTAAATGTATGCAAATTAGCACCAATTTAATCAACCAATGCCTAATTTGCATATGTAAATGTAACATTTTAGAAAACTCCAAATGGAAAATCTATAAAAATGTAATCAGTCAATCTTGGAAGTACGGTGATGATAACTGTTAGGTCAGTATGTTGTTGTTGTTGTTGTTTTTAACCCTACAGTATCTTGCTTTTACCTCGTTAGTAGCATGTGTGGTAAGGTTAACACTCCAGCAGAATTACATCAAAACCATACGATAAAGTTCAACATCCTGTGCAACTCTTAGCCAAGGATTGTGTCAGCTGAGCGAGAATCTGCACTATGTTTGGTCATCTGAGCAGAGATCTGCGCTGTGATTGGTTAGCTGAGCAGCAGGCACTTCCTGATGCTGCAGTGTTCTGAGGTCTGCTTCTGCAGTGAAGCGTCTGAAGGGAAGAGAGAGGAACACAGCAGCTTCACAGGACAGAAAGCAGAGCCGCTGGGAATAAAGTTCACCTTGTTTCTGTCTGGGCATGAGAAGATAGGGAAACCAGGAGACCTGCAGGAAAAAACAAACACACTATACATCTGAGAAGCAGCAATGAATTTCTAAAAGATGTAATTTATTAAATTTTGCTTTAGACAGTAACACCATTGGACAGTTTTGGAATTTGGCTAATATGTAATAAACAGCAGATTTTACATAAAGAGCTCCATGAAGACAAATAGAGTTGAAAGCAGAAGTTTACATACACTATGAAAAGGCACATAACCATTTATAAAAAAGTCAGATGTTAATGTGACTAAACTTTTTCTCTTTTAGGTGAGTTAGGGTTATCAAATTTGTTTTCGTTAAGCTTAATAGCAAAATAATGAGAGAGATATTTTTTGGGAAATTGTTATAACTTCTTGAAAGTCAAGTTTACATACAATAAGATTATTATGCCTTTGAAAAAGCTCAGATGATGTTGTCAAGGTTTTGAAAGTTTCTAATTGGCTAATTGACAACATTTGAGTTAATTAGAGGCACAGCTGTAGAATAGTATTTAAGGAAAACCTCAAACACACTGCTTCCTTGTGTGACAACATTGGAAAATCAACAAGCCAGAATCAACAAAAAAGCCAGATTACAGTTTGCTAAATTACACTGGGAAAGATAATAATTGTTGGAGACATGTCCTGTGGTCTGATGGAACTAAGATTGAACTGTTTGGCCATAATGACCAGTGTTACATTTGGAGGACAAAAGGGAAAGCTTACAAGCCTAGGAACACCATCCCAACTGTGAAGTATGGGGGCGGCAGCATCATGTTGTGGGTGCAGGAGGGACTGGTCCACTTCACATCATAGATGGCATCATGAAGAAAGAACATTATGTAGAAATACTGAAGCAACATCTCAAGACATCAGCCAGGAAATTAAAACTTAGCCACAAATGGGTCTTCCAAACAGACCATGACCCTAAGCAGACTGCCAAATTAGTTAAAATGTGCTTTAAGGACAACAGAGTGAATGTTTTGGAGTGGCCATCACAAAGCCCTGATCTCAATCCTATAGAAAATTTGTGGGCAGAGTTGAAAAAGCTTGTGCGGGCAAGACAGCCTACAAATCTTACTCAGTTACACCAGTTCTGTCAGGAGTAATGGGCCAAAATTCTATTTCTAAAAATTCTATATTCAATATCTAACTATTGTGAGAAGCTTGTGGAAGGAGACCCAAAACATTTGACCAAAGTTATACAGTTTAAAAGCAAAGCTAAAGAAATGCCAAGGAAATGTATGTAAACTTTTGACTGTCTAGAAATTAATAAAAAATTCTCCAAAAAAAAAAAAAAATCTCCTTATTTTTGCATTTAGCAAATGTAAATGATTTAGGTAATCCTAACGGACCTAAAATAGTAAACGTTCAGTATGATTTAACATCAGACATTTTTTTAAAAATGGTTATGTTCCTTTTTTAGAGCGTATGTAAACTTCTGGTTTCAACTGTAGATGTTGAACTGCATTTTAAATGATGACAATACTAATTCTATTTATTTTGTTCATGTGTGTGGCAGTGAAAAATGAACATCTCATCAACAACCCATCTATCGAACAAAAAACAGCATAATTGAGCATTTGAAAAAGATGTTTTAAGGGCAATGAGTAAAGAGTTTGTAATAGAGTGACTGCTACCTACATCAGATCTTCAAACACTTTGACTTTCTCGCAGCCTTCCGGAGGCTCTCGCTTAAACATAAAGCTGTTGTTGGGTTTTGGAGAGCTGGAGAACTCAGGGAGAGGAGAACCCAGCCTGCAGTCTGACAACACAAGAAGCAGAGTTAGACTGAAGTAAACCTTGCTGATGATAACAGTGATGATTATGATGCACAATATATCAAACAACTATTGTCGTTGCTATAATACTATATGCACTATCCATATCGCAGAGAAGTGCAATAAATTAAGTTAATTTTATGTGTCAAGTAGTTGTGTGGTTGTTTATCCCAGTGTTTCCCAACCCTGTTCCTGAGGACCCACCAACTGTACACATTTCCAACCTCTCCCTAATCAAACGCACCTGAATCATCTTATCAGAACATCAGAAGAGACTCCAAAATCTGAAGTGAATGAGTCATATAAGGGAGACATCCAAAATATGTATTATTGGTGTGCCTCCAGGAACAGGGTTGGGAAACACTGCTTTATCCAAATCTGACCAATCAGAAGAGGCCTTTACTATTTTTATCCCCTCCTCTCTGGTGGATGAGCCTAGAGCTGAAAAATACTAATGCTAGGAGGCGAGAGAGGAAAATCACAACAGTCTACAAGAATCAGAATATCAGCTGACGTTTTCAGTCATTCGTGGTGTTTTAAAGGGCCATGACACCCCCCTCTTTCGGTTAAAGTCTACTTCAGAATTTTTTCAAAAGATGCATGATTAATAGGCGTGGAGCTCCGCGAGCATCGGGCAGGAGTGGGCGTGGCCAGCAGGGGAGAAGGGGAGCGAATAACTGCTGTTGTCATTTAGCTCACAAAATGAGACACAAACCGTGAGGAGACGCATGAGTTTATAGTTTACAAAGTTAAAATGCAAAGAAATGAACAGTGATTTAATGCCCTGCTACATTTGTTATTCGTAATTTCATATACAGACAACCACAATTTATATCCTTATAAAGATGTGTGTTCATGTAAACACTATAAATGAGGACTTCTCCCTCAATCCCCGTATCCAGCAGACTCAGTGCAGCAGGTCTCCTGACCCGTCTATTTTAACCATTAACCCTGCTGGTAATCTGGAGGATTTGGGCAAACACAGCAGCATGGCGATGTGTCTGAATGTGAACGAACTCCTGATAAAACACAGCGTCCGCCATTCTCTAATTCTCGTGCTGCTCTCCCGACAAAAATGCTAGCAGCACGCACACAGCTTTGCTGTATGATCGGCCCTGACAAGATCGCGGGGAAAAACATGCAACAAACCCTGTGGATGATGGAAACAAACGCATATGAGCCTTCATGAACGGCTAAATACTGTGCCGTGGTTTCCGTGTCTCTCAGCTCGGGCTTGACTCTGGCAGGTCTGGCAGGTTTCATGAATAATTAAGCAGCCGGCTCTTCTCATAGGATGAGAAAACTCCGCTATGAATAATAATGAGAAACCGACGCGTCATCATTGCACTTGCAGTTCTGCGCTACGTCGCCGATTTTGATCCCGCCCCAAAAATCATTTTAAACCCGGAAGCTGAAATTAGCTGACAAAAGCTCGAAATTATAAAGTTTTCCCCACAATTAAAGCTGACAGGTGCTAACATTGTCTTAACTGATGCTCAACACACACACATCTGTTAATATAAAAAAAAAAGTTCTCCGGGGTGTCCTGAACCTTTATTGTCTAAGGGTGCTTTCACTCCTAGACTTTTGTTTCGGAACAGGTCTCATTTGCCCACTTAGTGCAATTCGTTTGGCATATGTGAATCTAGCAATCGCGCTTGGATCCGCGCAAAATCAATCGGCCTAGATCACCTGAATGAGGTGGTCTCGGCTCAATTGAAACAGATGGAGCGGATCAATTGTAGTGAGAAAGCAAAACGATCCGAGGCCGGCTACATCACAGAGTTTTATGGATATGTCATAGGCATATATGGCTATATGAAGACAGAATTATGAGTAGGGTGAGATGTCATTCCTATCGGTAAATGTGCGTTTCATGGTAAAGGTTTACAAAATCCTTGAGTACTTTTTTTGAGACTGTAACAGATTTGTGTGTGTTGAGCATCAGTTAAGACAATGTTAGCACCTGTCAGCTTTAATTGTGGGAAAAACTGGATAATTTGGAGCTTTTGTCAGCTAATTTCAGCTTCCGGGTTTAAAATGATTTTTGGGGCGGATTAAAATCGGTGACCTAGCACAAAACTGTAAGTGCAAAGATGACGCCTCGGTTTCTCATTATTATTCATAGCGGAGTGTTCTTATCCTATGAGAAAAGCCGGCTTTCTGATTATGCATGACTGCACGTGCTTTCCGAATGCAAGGCAGACCTGCCAGTGCCAAGCTGTGAGACACGGACCCACAGTATTTAGCAGTTCATAAAGGGTCGTATGTGTATGTTTCCATGATCCACAGGGTTTGTTGCATGTTTTTCCCTGATGATCCTGTCAGGGCCGATCATACAGCAAAGCTGTTTGTGTGCAGCAAGCATTTTTGTCGGGAGAGCAGTATGAGAATGGGAGAATGGCGGACGTTGCCTTTTATCAGGAGTTCGTTTACATCTAGACACATCGTCTTGCTGCTGTGTTTGCCTAAATCCTCATGATTATCAACAGGGCTAATGATTAAAATAGACAGGGCAAGAGACCTGCTGCACTGAGTCTGCATTCAGACCCGGGGATTGAAGAGAGAAGTCCTCATTCATAGTGTTTATATGAACACACTTATCTTTATAATGATATAAATTGTGGTTTTGTGTATATGAAATTACAAATAACAAATGTAGCGGGGCAATAAATTACTGTTTATTTCTTTGCATTTTAACTTTGTAAACTATAAAATCATGCGTGTCGTCACAGTTCGGGTCTCATTTTTGTGAACTAACTGACAACAGTTGTTCGCTCGCCTCCTTCTCCCCTGCTCTGCTGGCCACGCCCACTCCCTTTAGTTTGATCAGAACATGAATTATTGTTTTTTAATTAATGATAACCAAGCAATTTCCAATTTAGTTATCGCAATACTCAACAACAATATCGCATTTCAAATATTTTCCCAGTATCCTGCAGCCCTAATGATAATGAGGATGAGAACGATGATGATGAATATGGTGTGATGATGAGGATAGTGTGAATAAGCACCTTTCTCTGTGTCTGCAGCAGGAGAACAGCAGGACATCTGATGAAGAGCAGGTACAGGAGCTCGTCCACCGTCTCGCACCTCCAATGCCTGACACACACACACACACACACACACACACACACACACACACACACACACACACACACACACACACACACACACACACACACACACACACACACACACACACACACACACACACACACACACACACACACAAACACAAGCACACAAACACACACACACTCAATAAATTGAAAAATTAAATCTCAATGGGTGTGCATCTGGCTGACTGTGCATATGCGGGTATGTATGTCTGTGTCAATAAGTCTGTTTGTGTGTGTGTCCATGTGTTTTTTTAAAGGAATATGTGGTTCACATGGCGAATGCACCCATGCCCAAACATGTCACACTAAACAAACTATTATAACTATCTACACCCATCGTAACTGTCATGAAGAACGCAGAAGATTAAACAATTGTTATGTTAATATGTTATGTCAAAACAATTCAAGCTATGTGTGTGTGTGTGTGTGTGTGTGTGTGTGTGTGTGTGTGTGTGTGTGTGTGTGTGTGTGTGTGTGTGTGTGTGTTTGTGTACCGTCTCCTCCTCTCTCCTCCACTGGTCACAGATGAAGACGTTCTCCAGCTCCTGGTTCACACACTCACTGTAGCTGGGCACCCGACATATCAGCGGTCTGGAAAGTGCTGTATTAGATGAAGACGTTGAGATTCGCTTTGGCTGAAAAACAGGAAGCACAATGTCAATAAATGTCAATTTTATAGATTTATATCAAAGATTAAAATATGTGTTAATCTCACCAAAAACGTCAATGTCAAACATCAGCCTAAAGTAATTAATGAAGAAAATGTAGAATAAATCAAATAAAGGCTGGTGTTCGTACTGCACATTTATTACTGTTTGACTAGGTGTTTAACAGATTTTTTATTATAATATTTGATGATTTGTTTGAAATGCATGACTGATTACATTTAAAATAAAGTTTTTGACATGTAAACGATGTAATAAACTGATCAAAAGTGACAACAAAGACAATGCAAAATTGTATGTCATACAAAAGCATACAATTATTTTTAAATAAATGCATTTTTTTATATTTACCTTATTTTTCAATGCAAAAAAAAACAGACAGTTGTTGTGGAAGTGCAAAACTTTGGAAATAATGAGGTAAATAAAGAAAAAAATATATAATTTTCATATTAACTATAAAAAGTGTTTATAGTTAAAACAACACATCAAAAAAAATGTAAAAATACAATTTGTATAACTAAAAAAAGCTGGAATTGAATGACTCTAGAAGACAGAAACATGCATTTATTCATTTTCCTTTGGCCTAGACCTTTATTTATCTGAGGTTGCCACAGTGGAATAAATTGCCAACTATTCCAGCATATGTTTTACGCAGCGGATGCCCTTCCAGCCACAACCCAGTACTGGGAAACATCCATTCACACACACACATACACCACAGCCAATTTAGTTCATCCAATTCACCTATAGCAGGTCTTTAGACTGTAGGGGAAACCGGAGGAAACCCATGCCAAAACAGGGTGAACATGCAAACTCTACACAGAAATGTCATCTGGCCCAGCCTTGAACCAGAATTGTTCTTGCTGCGAGGTGACAGTACTAACCACTGAGTCACCGTGCTACCTGCAAGAAATATTACATTCACAAATTGTTTAATACCTGTGTCTGGCTGGCTTCTTCTTTCTCCACGATACTCCGACTTCCCTTCAAACTGTGCTGGAGCTGCTGACGGAGCTTAGAAATCTACAAAAATCACAATTATACCATTAGCTACCAACGGAGGACAATCTGACATATAGCCCTACACCAGATCACTACAGCAGGGGTGGCTAACCCTGTTCCTGGAGAGCCACCTTCCTGCAGATTTCAGTTGCAACCCATATCAAACACACCTGCCTGTAATTATCACGTGGTGTTCAGGTCCTAATTAATTGGTTCAGGTGTGTTTGATATGGGAAGCAACTGAACTCTGCAGGAAGGTGGCTCTCTAGGAACAGGGTTGGCCATCCCTGCACTACTCAATACTAATGATGTACTTTAAAAAAAAATGTCATATTTTCAGTAATATAAAGATAATCTTTAATATTGTGTAATGTGCTGAAACTTATATTTCAACACGACTTCATTCATTCATTTTCAGCTTAGTCGCTTTATTAATCAGGGGTCACCACGGCGGAATGAACCGCCAGCTTATCAATTGTACGCCTGCAGCTTGTTCAAAATGCAGCTGCTTGGCTTTTAACCGGGACAAAAAAAAATTCTAGTATCTCACCAGTTTCATCATCTCTTCACTGGCTCCCAGTCCAATGTAGGATTCAATACAAGTTATTGCTACTTGTTTTTAAAGTGTTAAATGGTCTGGGACCTATTTACGTCGATGAGCTTCTTCACTGGCATACCAATCAGGTCGGAAAATGAATTTCAGCTAGTTGTTCCTAAAACACGGTTGAAATCAAGAGATGACAGGGCTTTTTCTGTCACACAGCCCACCGTCTGTGGAATGGTCTGCATTTACAAATCAGGTCATGTACTTACTTCCCTTGGTGCTTTTAAGTCGTATATAAAAAAAAAATCACCTTCTGTTTCTGCTTTTTGATAGCAAATAATACATTTAATCCTGTTTTATATATTATGTTTATATATATATATATATATATATATATATATATATATATATATATATATATATATATATATATATATATATATATATATATATATATATATATATATATATATATATATATATATATATATATATATATTTATATATATATAAAAATAAATATATATATATATATATATATATATATATATATATATATATATATATATATATATATATATAT